AAGGTAGGATCATTGATCAACATTTATTAAATTTTCCCAATTTCTGCCACAGTTCCTGGTGCACCCTCAGGCCAGCTTGGGAAAATTAGCAGAGGCGTGTGGTTCTAAAAACCTTGAAGATATGTCGGCAGACAGTGCTGGGGGAGTCTCACTAATGAAAGGCGGCAGACAGTGGCCAGCTGAGGAGTTAGCCTGACGGCCAAGAAAGGGCTGGAGCACTTGTGTAATCCTGTCCCGGGTGCGCAGAGGAAAGGACGCCCCAGACCATCTCAGACATGTCAGGTTCCAGCTCCCCGAGAGGCGAGGCAAGGTGGTAATAAACGGCAGCGTGGAGAAGGACGGCCGGGTTGTGACGAAGCTGTGGCGGACTGGTACACACGACTGCATTGCAAATTAGCCGGCGCGCCTCCGGGGATAGATCCAGGGGCCATCGAGGACGGTTCAGCGAAGGTGCCCCTTTGTGAGCCGCGGCAGTGAGACAGGCTAATGGGATGCATGATTGCCGGGAAGGGGACCGGAGAGTGATGCAGCGGCGGGGAATGGCTTTGCATAAATCAGAAGTGCATCTCTACCCTGTACGCCTCATTCGCTCTTGGTCACATCCTTTCCTAAGGGGATTACAGTCTGGGGAAGGTTGGGGGAAGGAAACAATGCACGTGCTTCTGAGAGCGGAGAAACCGGGCCTTGGCTGAATCACCAGCAGGAGAGAGGCCGTGCGCTGCGGAGGGGACTGGGGACGGGGGCACAGCCAGGCCTCGCCTCGCGGTGGCGGGCCTCAGCGCCTCCTGCACTTCGCTGGCATTTCTGTGAGAGGGGGGCAGCTCCCACCCCGCGCTCTCGATGGAGGCCGCTTGGTGGGTCTCGAGGAGTGCCCAGAGCTGGCGGGCGCCGCCCCGCTGCCGGCTCACGCCGCTGTCGTGCGGCTGGAGGCCGAGGGGCTCGATCGTCGCTGCGGTGACGGAGCCGGCCCGCTCCGAGGGCGGCAGAGCCCGCGGGAGATGGGCACCAGCGAGGCAGCCAGCCTCCGTCCGGAAGTCCGTGCCCTCTGCCTGAGGGGCCGCCTCCTTCTGCCTCCCTCCAGGCGCAGGGCAGCTCCCCGTCGGCCCCGCACTCGGTGCAGGCCCGCTGGTGTCTTGAGCGGCCCCGCCGTGAGGGTGGATTCAATCCCAGCGGGCGGGGTGTCTGTGGGAAAGTAGCACGGGGGCCTGGCCTCAGCGTGCCCCCCAGAGGCCCTGAGGGCAGGGAGCGGGTGCCAGACACCCCCAAGGACGCCACAGGCCCCGTGGACGCCGTGTCGTCAGCGTGCGAGCGTGGCTGTGCCGCAGCCCGGAGCCCTCCGAGGACCGCCGCCTCCGGTCCCGGTCCTTCCGCATCTCCGCAGACGCTGTTCTTCCCGTTGAGTTTGCTGTCAGATCCTGTTCTGTTTTCTTTTTAAAAATGACTCCTCACTGATGGTAAACGGCTGGTTTTCTTCAAGGGGTCCAGGTCCAAGGCTTAAAGGTTTTTCATCTGCTTTCTTTCTTAGATGCTTACATTATTTGAATTTGTCACCTGTTTCCTCATAAACATCTTTAATGTAAGAACTGTCAGTTCTTAAGAGTCCACTGCCTGGTCCCCCAGGCGCCCCCACCCCACCCGCCGTCCTGCCACCCTGGCTCCGCCTGCCTGCCCCTGTCCTGGCCTTGGCTTGGGAACCCCATCGGCCCCGCGACCCCCGACCCGGCCCTGCTCGGCTGCCTGCCTTCCCGCCTCAGCGATCCCGCTGCACCCCCGCTACTGCTCGCCCACTGGCGTCACCGCCCCGAGACCCGGCCTTCTGCCTGGGGAGCCCCGTGTTGGCGGAGAGCCGCGCCCACCTTCTGCCTTCCCGGCTGCGCAGCTCCTGCTCTAACGCGGCTGCCTGCTGAGCGGCTCCTCTCCGGGGTCTCTGCTCTCCCATCGGTGCAGCTTTTGCCGCCCGGCGCCTCCGCGGCACGCTTGTGACTTCCTAAAGTGCTGTTCACCGTGTGCCGCCTTTGACCCTGGCCGAGCTGCGCGCCCGGTGGAGGTGCTCGGGAGCCACGCTTGTTCTGGAGGCCTCGGGGCGCTGGCGGCGCAGGCTGCGGCTCGGCCGGGACGCCCTGCGCTTGCTGCCGGTGGCTGTGCCTGGGCCGCAGCGGGCCGAGCAGGGGCCACGTGGAGGCTGAGGCAGGCAGGTGTGGGGCGCGTCTGGAGCTGCGCGTGCCGGGAAGGAGGCGGTGAGCTTTCTGGAAGCGCGGAGCTCGCTGGTTGAGCTTCGCTGTGGGGACTGTTAGGTGGGGGGATAAGCGCCATGCGTCACACCTGCAAACTGCGTGGTTAGAGGACTAAACGCAGTTGTGCAGTTGCCGCCGCCTAACTCGGGAGATACACTCGGGTGCGGGACGCGACCCGCAGCCGGGCGAGGGCGGCACACGCTTCCCACGCTCTCCTCGGAGCTGACTCGGGGTCTTCCCGCGTGGTGGGGAGCAGACCCCCGGCCCCCAGGGCAGCGCCAGCCGGGCGTCTCCCTGGAGGCGCCGGTAGCACGAGGCCCCCGAGACCTTCCGCCCTCCCCTCTCAGTCCAGGGTGTCCGCTTCTGTGCAAGGCCCCGAGCGGGGCGAGGGGGGCGTGTGGGAGCGGGCCGGTGCGGTGAGGTCAGGG